AAAAATCTATGTGAGAATTAAGGGAAACTTCATTAGATTAACAACATATTTCTCAGCAGAAATGACACAGGACAGTAGGGAATGGAGTAACATAGTCGAAATCCTAAAAGAGAATAACTGCCAACAAAGATTACAATATGCAGCAAAGATTCCTTCAGAACTGAAGCAATAATCAAAAAGGAATTCTTTAATTTATTTTATTTTTCCTTCCCTTTTTTCTCAGTGTAGGGGATCCAACTCAGAGCATCGTGCATCTTAGGTAAGTATCCTACCACTATATTGTATATCACGAAAAACGCGTAAGGGGTCTTACATAACTGCTATGAAGAAAGCATGTGAAAATGTAAATCCCACTAGAAGAGAAGAGATAAGCACCACACATGACCAATAACCACAAAGATGAAAAACAAGAACAAAGAATATTCAAAACACCTAGAAGAAAATCAACAAAATGACAAAAATAAGCCCTTATCTATTAATAACAATAACCCTGCAAGAATGGGCAAGATTCTTCAATTGAAAGGCACAGACTAACTGAATGGACAAAAGGAAAAAAAATAATATCCTGCCTACAAGAAATTCGCATGACAAGTAAAGCAAAAAACCTGAAAGTGAAAGGATGTAGGATGTAAAATGATATTCCAAGCAAATGAAAACCTAAAGAGAGCAGAAATAGCTATACTTATATCTGACAAAATAGACTAAGGTAAAAAGCATGAGAGACAAAGAAGGTCACCACATACAGTGACCAAGTAATCAATTCACCATGAAGTATATATTATTATACATCTATATGCATTTAATTTTGGAGTATCCAATCTTATAAAACAATCACTATTAGACCTAGAGAGAAACATAAGCTTCAACTCAATAATGGGAATTTTATCACACTGCCTTCTTCAATGGACACATAATCAGGGCAAAAATCAAAGAAACATCAGAGTTAAACTGTATTATAGATCAAATTGACTAAGCAGAAAATTTATGGACTATCTCATCCAACAGTCACAGAGTACACATTCTTTTCATCAGCACATGGTTCTTTCTCTAGAATAGATCATATGCCACAGAATAAGACAAATTCAGAAAAAGTTAAATCATAAATCATGTATCTTCTGATCATGACAGTAAAACTAGAAGTCAGAAAAAAGAAACTTTAAAAGTTGTACAGATACATGGCTATTGAACCACACATTTGAATGAATAGTGGGTCATCAAAGTCAGAATGAAAATTCTTGCAACAAATGAAAACACAGAATACCAAAACTTGTGGGATACAGAAAATGCAATATTAAGAGAGAAGTTTGTAATAGTGCCTGCATAGAAAATTCAAATAGACAACTTGATGCCTATCAAGGACTTAGAAAAGTGAGAATAAACCAAACCCCAAATTAGTAGAAAAACACAAGTCAGAGCAAAAATAAATGAAATGGAGACTAAAAAACAATATAAAACACCAAATAAACAAAGAATAGGTTCTTTGAAAAAATAAGTTCACAAACCTTTAGCTAGACTAACCAAGAAAAAAAAGCAGACCCAAACAAGTAAAATTAGGGCTGAAAAAGAAGCCATTACATCTGATAGCACAGAAATACAAAGGACCCTTATTATGAAAAACTATATGCTGATGAATTAGAAAACCTAGAGGAAATGGAGAAGTTTCTGGACACAAATCAAATGGTGGTATGGTTTCACTATGAAGTATTCCTCAGAGACTCGGATCATATTGGACCACAAGGGTGCTGACCCGTTAATGAGCTCCTAGCCCTTGGGCTGCTGGGAAGTGGGCCAGCCCTATCTGAAGGAGCCAGTGACAGTGGTACAAACCTGACTGTATCTTGTCTCCCAGCCCCTCCCTCTCCGGCTCCTTTCTTTACTCTGTTTCCTGCCTGCTAGGAACTGAACAGCTTTCTTCCCCATTTCTATTTTCAAGCCAGCTAGTCATGGGCTGAAATATCTGAAACCATGGGCCAAAATATTTAAGTTGTGTATATCAGGTGTTTTATCCCAGCATCAGAAAGCTGGCTGATACAAACCGGAAGGGCATAAAAAACCTGGATAGGCCAACAAACAAGTAAATGAGGTTTAATCAATAAGTCTCCCAACCAAGAAAAGTCCAGGGCTATAGGCGTATTCACTGCTGAACTTTACCATACTTTGAGAAGACTTGACACTGACTCTCAAACTATTCCATAGAATTGAAAAGGAGAGAGTCCTTCCAAACTCATTCTATGAGGCCGGGCTTGGCTCATTACCAAAACCACACACACACACACACACACACACACACACACACACACGACCAACATCTCTTACGAATATACTTAAATATACTTAAAATTTCTCAATAAATGGTTAGCAAAGATCCTCCACCATGATCAACCTGGTCTCATTCCAGGGATGCGATGGTGGTTCAGTATAAGCAAATGAGAATGTAGTATATCATCAATGGAATGAAGCATTTTCAACAGAAGCAGAAAAAGCATTTGATAAAATTCAACTTTCCTGCCTGAAAAAAGCCCTGAACAAATTAGGTATAGGATGAGTGTACTTTAATAAAGGCTACATAGGACAAACCCAATGTGTCAGTCACACACACCCCCCCCCCGTGCTATCACAGAATACCTGAGGTAATTGCAAGGGTTAGGGGTTCAGTCCATGTCCAGCCTCCTATTGCTTCTGGTCCTGTGGTGAGGGGTGGAGCAGAGAGAGGAAGAGAGCAACCTCCCGCACTTCCTTCACGGGCACCCATCTGCCCTAACTTCCTTGTCCTAGGCTTTGTTCTCGGAGGGCCCACCGCCTCCCAGAACATCGAAGTGTGGTGGCCAGGCCTTCACCAGACATTCTAGATCCAGTTCACAGTGCAACATCATACTGACCGGGAAGGAGCAGAAAGGATTTCTTCTGATGTCAGTAGGGAGACAAGGTATCTACTTTACCTGCACTTACTCAACAGAACATAAGAAGTTTCAGCCAGATCAACTAGGTGAAAGAGACAAGGCAAAGGCACACGCAGAGAGCAGGTCAAGATTTCCCCTTTTCTACACAGACCTAGACACTAAGGTCTAATAGTCCCTAGACCCTCAAGACTATTGTAGCAGGATCAAAAATCAACATAAAAAAATCAGTAGCCATCTCTTCAGAACCGCTGCAGAAAGTGGTAAGGATGATGAGATGGCTATGTCTGAAGTGAGGGGGAATCTTGGCAGGGGCATTAATGTAGGCAATGTGTTTTTTACGCTAATACAAAAAAATGTGAGCATTCGTATTTTCAATCATACCTTGAAGATGTTACCACCTAGCTGCTGAGTATGATGATATGAACAGCAGCCTGTCAGGCAGCTCTTAAATGCCTGGGAGGGCTCCGCTCCGGTGGGTTTTGAACACACTTGGAGAAACAGTATATACAATTATGTCACTTAGCCCTGATCAGCCACACCTGATTTACTTTGTGCCAACTTCTGAAATGTAGAGGGATAATGTAAGACAGGCGACTGATCTATTAAAGAGTCCTTATCCACATGGACTGGGGGAAAGCTAGGCCTCTAATTGAGGTATGATAGAAGAAATATGGGTAGAAAGGCGACAAATGATACAATTTTGAGAAAATTGTGGCCTCCAGACAGAATCAGAATGAACCAAGGTTACCATGTCCTTTTTCACCTGTAGGCTTTTTTTTTTTCCTACCAGACTCCTCCTAAATTCCTAAGGGTCCTGAAGATACAGGGTCTATGCGCTTTTCATAGCTTCTGCCTTGAACGGCAGTGCTAACAGATCTCTGCACTTCAGTCACATGCAAACGGGTTGCACGTTAACCTACCTGATGGAGGCAGGGTTTGCTTCGTTCACTAATGGGGGTAGCCTGACAGACACTAGGTCTAAAAAATCAAGAAAGAAACGCTCCCGATCACCCACCTGGACGATGCCCCAAGAGTCAAGACCAGAACTCCGTGCACCTTGCCCCTCGGGCTCTGCACTTTCTTGCTGAGTACTTTGGTTCTGTTGTTAATAAAGCTGTCTAACCTCCTCACTGATGAGTCTTGAAATGCTTCTCGGTGTGAGCCAAGAACCCACCTGAGGCAAGGTGAGGTCCCTAATCTCTTTGGGGGACCTCCTTGAACCTCACCTGGTGACAGGAGGACTAGAATTCCTGACTGGCCCCAGTGACGAGAACACAGCAGTGACCCTAATGCTGGGACGCTGCAGGCCAGCATGGTCCTTGTCATCGCTCAGCTTGGTCCACTGTGAACCCACTCATCAGTCTGCGCTGATCTCCTTTTTCACATCATAACTAAGCATGAATTTTCCTCTCCAAATGCAAAGAATCACTGCGGTCCCTCTGCTATGTCCCTATGTCCCGAGGCAGCCCCATCCCTGGACTCCTGTGGCCAAGCGATCCCCCACTGCGGCTGTCTGCCGGGCCTACTTGGGGCTTTGGATGCAAACCTCTAGGATTAGAATCAAGGAAGGAATTGGTTTCCAAGGGCTCCACATTTCCTGGTGTGGACAGTGATTCTCTGCCCTGGCTGACCTGTGGGTTTCTAAACATTACTCGTGCTTGGCTCCCACCCCGGAGCTACTGACTTTACTTTTCGGAGGTACAGTCTGGACAGGGCTGATACAGAACTTCCCCCAGCACCCCTGCAGCCCCTGGATGGGTCTCCTCAGAGCTTTACGTTACCATCCGCAGCACAGCCAACAAGAAGAGGTGGCTGTAAGGAACACAGAGCTGCAGAGGGAGCCTGCAGGCTCTCAGATGACCTGGGGAGAGCTGGGAGCTTCGGGGTGGAGGGAAGCCAAAAGAAACAAAACAAAACAAAACAAAAAAACTGGTAGGTTAATGTTGGAGAAAAGTATCAGAAACGCGGCTCCAGGGATGAGGAAGTGATACGGGTGGGGTCAGTGACGGAGTTGCCACAGAAGCAGTGGCCTTTTGCTTCGTACTGTGGCCCTTGTGCACTTTCAGATTGGTTTCTCAGGTAGAAACCGCTTGCCCTTACCTGACCCCAGCTGGAGAAGGCCCACTCCACACACAGCTGCTGGTTACAGGCCTGGGTGTCCACAGGGCGTTTGGCGTGCTGGGTGCACAGGTCGTTGGACACAGTTGCGGAGAACCCAGAGGCCTTCAGCTTCTGACAGGTCACCCGGCGCGTCTGGATGCCTCCGCCACAGCTCCGGGTACAGGCGGACCAGGAAGTCACCATCCACCTGAGAAGAGGGAGATGCGTCAGGGTCCCAGAGGTCGGGCCTTGGGAAAGGAGCCTTGCCTGTCCCTGTCACCCACAGAGACGCCAATGTGGGGCCCTGTCCTTTCTTAGCATTTACCCAGAATGGTAGGCGAAGAACAGCTTTCCCAAAGGAGAGGTTACCTTATTTGCAAAACAGGTCTCTGCAGTCCTAAGTGACGGTGGGAGGAGACCGTGGAGGTGGAGCCCAGGCGTCATTTTAAGAGACTCTCATAAGGGAAGTCGCAGAGAACACACAGGAAGAGGTGGGGTAGAGCTAGCCAAGGGGCACCGGAGGCCCTGGGCAGTGAGGGCCGAGGCGCAGAGCGTCCCTGGGGGCTCTGCAGGGCACACGGCCCTGCTGACCTTCAAAATGGTGAGACTTGTTACTTGAAGCTACTGTCCACAGCGATCTGTTATGGCAGCCTCAGGAAACGGACACCCTTGGGACACCGGCCGGCAAGTACATCCTAGCGAACTTGGGGCCAGCTGCCTGAGCTGCCCAAAGGCATAAGAGGCAGACAGACTGCTCTGGAGACCTCCTCTGCTGCCACCCCGCTGCAGTGCCGAGCGGGACAGTTTCCCAGGAGCGATCCAGACCCTCATGCCGCCTGCCCCGAGGCAGTCAGGTCTTTCTTACGGTGTTACCTGGTAGACTTCGCACTTTGTTTCACCTTAACCTACGTTCCACTTGGTATCTCTATCTTTTAGAAACAAAGTTCCTTTCGGATTTCTGGGGCAGTCGTCCACATCCACAGATCAGTCTTCTCAGTTTTATATATGTTAGAGTTGCATATGTGATAAAACATGTTTCCAGAATGTTAGGCCTCCACTAGTCTAAGACTCCAGAAGTGAGACTTAACAGGAAGATGACGAAAGAGCCTTTCTTGCAAAGCCAAGGAATAATCTAGGGATACCTGAAGTTCTTGGTCCATATATAGCATATTAGAGTCCTCTTTGCCTGTGTGAACCCTGGGGTAATTCTCAAGGAGGAGAAGGGGATAATTTTGGAACAATAATGAGGAAAGTAATGCTTTTCAGCCACTTCACGAACCATAGGAAAATAAAAAAAAGAAAAAAGCACTCTAGTTTTTTCTGAAAGTGTGTGTGGGGCCCTTATCTAACATGAACTATTCCATTTACAAAGACTGTCAGGATGCTGGCATGCCCAAGAAGTCGGGCAGGAAAGCCTGTCCAAGGTTAACCTATGGTCCCTTCCTAGCGGTGGAGCCGCATCTGGCTTTTAGAAGAGGTATGTAGTGGGAAGGGAAGCAAATTCCTTCTGCATCTGGGTCTGTGACTCATTTGGTTTGTGGCGGTTTCCCCACTCCTGTGCCCTGGAGCAACCCACAGGAGCAGAACCACTTAGAAGCAGGCATGAGGTGTTTAAAACTCCTGGGGCACTGAAACCGAAGAAGACATAGCCCTATTATTTCATTTGCAGAACTAAATTAGGCTGACTGACTCTGACCATCACCAGATCAAATCTAAAAGTTCCTGGCACGTCACAGATCTCGTCTTCATTTCACATGGGCCGTCTTCCAGGCTCTCATGTCCCTGGTGAACGTCAGAACTGCATTTCCATCAACATTTATTTTTAAATATACATTTCAATGATTTTTTTTTTTCAGGAGCTGGGTGGAAGTTTTGAGAAAGGAGAGGTACGGGCTATGTTACTGTTCAGGAAAGTTATAAAAGGACATTAATCATTCCTGTGGAAACCTTCCTGTCAGCAAATCAAACTGCTGATATTAATGAGTGTGTTTCGTATTTCACGCAGTCTCTCCTGGTTTCAGCTGCTCTGACTCAGCGGCAAACACGAAGTGGCTGCTGGGGTAGGACTCGGAGCCCGGCGGAGGGGCGTGGAGGGCTGCGGGCTGAGTGTGACTTCTGCCCGGAGCCTGGCTGGGGCGCATGCCGGGCCGGGATTGTGCTGCTCCAGGGCGAAGACCGAGAGGTCAAACGCAGGGGCCCTGACGCAGACAGCACATCCGCAGTGAAGGTAGCTGTGGGCATGGAGACTCACTCCAACCTTAGCGAGGTACAACCGACTGCGGAGAAGACGGCGTGTCCTCTCCCGCACAGGCAATGGGGTGAGACAGACAGGGCTGGGCTGAGGGCCCTGGGCTCCCGCACTGCCACTGAAAGCTCTTCTCACGCCTACGAACACCGAGGCCCGGTGTCCCTGCAGGACGGAGCCCCCTTCTCTCTCTGCCCGTGGAAGCCAGCGGGACAGGGCAGCGGGAAAGGAGTGGAGGGGCCTCGCCGGGCCCTGCGAACACGCGGCCGCAGCCAGCACTCACCGAGAAGGGCAGTCCCTCCGGTTGCAGGCGACCGGCTGCACAGTGGGGCGGACTCTCCCTGAACAGCGCTCCGGGTCGACCTCCGTGGTATTCTGCAGACACCGGAGACGGGGCTGCTGGACGCCCCGGTTACCGCAGGATGCGGAGCAGGGCGCCGGTCTGTCCAGGGCCCACCCGTAATCTGTGGGGAGCAGGGAGAGCCGGGAGAGCCTGGTCACCGCTGGGGCTGGGACCTCAGTCCGCACTCAGACCCTCGAGCCTTTACCATCGGTACTGTCTGCTTGATGTACCAGAAAGTGACTGTGTTTGTCTACAGAGAGACATAAAATGCTCCAGAAATGGAAGCATATTTAAAAGTATCAATTCATTTTGTAAATGTTATAGGAAACAGCCTATACAATGACGTCAATGAAAAAGCAAGTATCTTTGGGGGCCTGGGACTTACTGGTAGAAAAGCTGTTAAAAGTAAACATGGCTTGTAAATTTTGAGTGCTTATTTGCAAGTACCTGTGTATTTTAAAAATTGCAGATGGGCACTGTATTTTGATTTTCAGCAGAGAAAAGCTGGCTGATAAGAAAACGGAACATTTGCTTTCCTGTCTGGAAGGCCAAATGGCAGGGGAAGACACAGGAAAATCTATGTGCTCAGAAAATCTCTGCCTCCTCCCTCTGTGTTTCTCCTGTAGGGGGAGAACTCTGCACCTCTTCACAGTCTTTCATTTTGGAATAGATGCATGAGAGTCTACTTTCCTTAAAAGTATCACGTGCAGGCCACAGAACTAGCCTATGGAGGACTCCAAAGCTTCCCCTCGTTTCTGTGAAAATGCCATTTTGGGCTTTCTTCCTGCTGAGCTGGTACAGTGTGTGCCAGGCCTGGCCCTGTTCCCGGAGGGCACAGGCAGGAGCTGCCCAGGCTCAGTCTGCTTTAATCCAGGACCAAGGGAAAGGAGCCTGGAAAGCCCTCTTCAGGACATCAGGCCAGCACCAGAACAGCCCCAGCCCTAGAGGAAGAAGGCAGTGCACACACTGCTAAAACTGAGAAATCGAGAGGCTGGTTTTTTTTCTGTATGTGTGTGTGTAGTTCAGAGTCTCACTATGCAGTTCAGGCTGGCCTTGAACTGGCAATCCTGCCTCAACCTCTCCAGGGCTAGGGTTACAAGGTGTGTGCCACTGTTCCAGTTTTTATTTTTTTTTAACTGCTCCGGCAGAGAAAGCTTGTATTTCAAAACAGGCTACTGTGCATGCTCATGACCTATCCTCTGGCAGTTAAACCAGCATAGAAAGGCACATCCAATTTTGATAAACTGCTGGTCATTTGAGCCCAGGCCATAGCACAGCATGAGCAGTAGGATGCTTTGCGAGGTGGCACCGACATGTGCAGGTTCAGCTGGATGGGGCCTGGCAGCTCTTGGGAAAAGCCATGCATGTCGGGAGGAGGAGGGTCTCAGTCTCACTGCCAGGAACATGGGCCGGCACTGGTTTCCGTGCACTGGAGAGCACCGGATATCAGAGCTTGCTTTGGACTCCCAGGTGGGTGCACAATCGAATCCAAGTCCAGCACCGAAGCCTGCAGAGCTGCTTACCTTGGATCACCAGGGAGGCCTTCTGTGCGAGCAGCCCCGCCTCATTCTGAGCCAGGCAGATGAATTCCCCCTGTGAGCCGACACTGAGATTGGTGACCTGAAGGATCTGCCCAGCTGCTAAGGTGTGATGAGCGAGTCCTGCCACGGTGGCGATCGGCTGACTGCCGTGGAACCAGGTGATGTTGGGCGTGGGGTGACCCTGGATGGGGCAGCCTGGAAGACAGGAGAGGAGGAGGAGTCAGGATGGGTGGGAGCCACACAGGTAACATGGCCCCACCCACAGCACGGTCCTTATGTCTGCTGTTCCCAGGCAAACCAGAGTTCTTATTCTCCTGGCTTATGGGGAGTCGTTAGCCACTCAATTAAATAAAAATTCTCAGAGTTCAAAGTGCCTATTTCTGTTTTTGTCCCTATAATAACTAAAATAAGATGCAATTAATATTCACTCATTGAACATGTCCTAAATTAGTTTCTGTACTGATTTTACTCAGGAAAAAAACAAAAACCCTGCTACTTTGAACGCAGTCTGTTGGAAAAAACATGCTGTGTTGTGACAGTTAATCAAACTTAATTGGTGAAAGTCTAGTATCTGCCTCCATTTCACCCAATTTTGATTTCTGAAGTTAAAAATTTTCAAAAGAGACTAGGAAAACAAATTTAAACACAGATCTAATTTCTCTATAAGTTAGGTCTTTTGAAAACTTTTATATAACCTGAATTGGACATGTATACTATTCTACTTGTCTACTTAGCCACAGAACACATTTTGCTACATTATGATTCCAAGATATTAAATGGAGATACTGTGTATACCCAAACCTTTGCTGCACAGAATTCGTAAGATAAACAGATTCCCACTGTGAGAAAAAACATACTGCTTCTAAATTTGGACTGCTTGCTTAATTTGTTTTTGTGACCCTAATGACTTAGCTTCCATAGAAAATTTGTTTGGAAGTTTAAGAATACATGTTAAATCACTAAGAATTCTACACATCAGAGGTAAGAATGTCTCTTCTGTGCGTCCTGCTCTGGGCATACTGAGGACAGTTAAGACTACATTCTTTCTTCCAAGGAAAGCCCAACTAATACAATACTTAAAAAAAAACAGAACCATGAGCCAATAAAGCTATGTTCATTATAAATGATTTTATTTCAGGTCCTGCGTTATAGCAGCACAAAACAAAAAGGACCACTTCTTGGCCTTCTGGCTAAGATCAGGTGTAGTAAGAGAGTCAGAGGTGAAAGACTTGTACACTAAAATTACACAGCTGAAATTAAAAAGGTCCTAAGTAAATGGAAGGACATCTTATACTCGTGGATTGGAAGACTTAATATTGTCAAGATGTCAGTTCTACCAAAGTGAGCTACAGATTCAGCGCAGTCCCAATTGCAATCCCTGTGACATATCCTTTTTCCCTCTTTCACATATTTTGAACATGGAAAAATCTCATCCCAGATCCCAAAATTCACACAGAATCTCAAGAGCGTAAAAATAGGCACAATGATCCTAAAGAAGAAAGCTGGAGGACTTTTACTTCCTGTGTTCGAGGGTTACTATAACCAAGACAGTACAGTCGTGGTGTAAAGACAGACATGTGACCAATGGCACAGGCTAGACCTTTAAATATATGGTTGAATGCTTTTCTACAAGCATTGCAAAACCATTCAGCAAGGCGGGAGAGGACAGTCCTTCTGGCAAATGGTGCTAGGAAACTGGATTTCCAGGGGCAACCAAATACAAAACATACCGAAAAATGGGTTAAAGACCTAAACATAAGTGCTAACAGTGTAAAACTTAGAAGAAAACACAGGGAGAAACTTTCTTAACTTGGGCTTGGCAATGATTTCTTAGATGTAACACTAAAATCTAGATAACAGAAGAAAAAAAGTAAATCATCAAAATTAAAACCTTTTCTACATTATAAGACACTATCAAGTAAATGAAAAGGCAACTAACAGAATGCAGAACTATGAGCAAATCATAGATCTGATAGAAAATTAATGTGCAGATTATGAAATAACTCAACTCAGAAGAAACCACACACTTAAAAAGTGGACAGATGTGAGCAGCTATTACTCAAAAGAAGATAGACAGACAATAAGCAGATAAGATGTTCAACTAATCTTTAGGGAATGCAAATCCAAACCACAAGTTACTCTACCACATTCACCAGGATAACTATTATAAAACAAACAAACAAATGCTTGCAAAACGTGGAGAAACTGAAATTTTGCATTGCTAGTCGGAGTTCAAGTTGAGCAGCTGCTGAGGAAAACAGTATGGCAGTTCCTCAAAAAATTAAATGTAGAATTACCATGCAGTCTACCAATTCTACTTCCAAAAGAATCAAAAGTGGGGTCTCAAACACATATCTACACACCAACATTTGCAGCAGCAGTATATGGGAAATGCAAAATATATCATGATGGAATACTGTTCAGCCTTAACAAGGAATGCAATGTGGACACATGCTGGTCAGAGCCTTGCTGAGGCTGACTAGATTCGCAGTTGATAAATAAGAAATGTGCTCCTTCCAGCCAAACAGGAGCTATTCAGCCAGGGAATCCTTTGTGTTAAACCTGATCATTTTTCTAAGTCCATCAGGACTGACTTTCTGAGAGTATTTAGGCAGAAAAAAAGTGTTAGCAGCCTCAGGCTGTTCTCTGTGGCTGACACAGTTACTTCTCTGGGAGCCCTGGCCCTTAGAGAGCTGAATATGAGGCATATTTGTTAAGAATTGAATTCACAATCCTTTCTTTTTCTTGCAAGAAGAGGCTGTAGTGAGCAGCAGGACACTAAAATCAGACCCATGTGTGTGTTGGGTCTTAGGCATGTGCCCAGGCCTTCCACCCTGCTTATAAGTTGTTAAGATAATCTTTTAAGAAAGTTTTGGAAAGTAATCCTTTTTTTTTTTTTCACATTCAGTTGCAGATTCAGGTTTCTCAGGGAGATCAGGCTGCACTAAGGTTCTGATGAGGTGATCTTTAAAAGACTTCTTCTCCCCCTCATCTCATACTCCTTATCCTCACCCCTCTTCCCCTCCCCCGAATAGCTGAGTGATCTCTCCTGCACTACCTGGGTTAATAATGCACAGCGAAGCACAGCTACGCCGAGGAAGGGCGCATGGCAAAAGTGTTATATACGCAGGCTACGTAGGACGAAGATGGGGAGAGGTCTCGGTCTTGGCGTCCATGTGAGCTGGTCTGTCACTATACCTAAATGTCACCTTTCTGTGAGATCAGCTCTCAGATCAGGTTGGGCCCAGTTTAAAGAATTCATCTGAACTTGGTCATTTACAAGGCCCTATTTCCAAATAGGAGCATATTCACAGGTACTGGGATTCGGATTTTCTCATCCTCTGCGGGGTGATGTTCACAATTCAACTAAGAACAGAGGGCCATCCAAACAGAGCAGACGTGCTCTAGACAAACTGAGGAAATAAAGAGCAGAGTTCAAAGACATGGAGGCCACTGGCAGATGTTAAGTCCAAAGATGGGGGTGGTATACAGAAAAAACCTACAGAAACCTACATCAATTCCTCTGCAGTCTTTGGCCACTTGAAAATGTGTGTGCTCAGGGGTTAAACTCCACAAGATCGAGTGAAGAGAAATCAGGAAACCGTGAGCTTAATAGTTCCCAAATCTCAAGTCAGGAAGAAAGTGCTTCAAGTGTTGACCAAGTAGAGCTCGGCCTCTTTACAGAGCCTCGGGGCCTTTGGCAGAGAAGCCCAAAGGCTGGGGAGTAACGGCCACCACAGACCTGGCCTAATGAGCCTACGAAATAACTGATTAACAGAAGAAACCCAACAATCTCGAGAGGAAGATAGCAAGATAAAGAAGGTATAAAATCTGCACTGTAAAATCTATAGACACATATTTGTTTTCTTTAAAGTTTTCATAAATTCTTTTTTGAGACAGGGTTTCACTGTGTAGTTCAGACTGGCCTTGACCTCACTTGATAGCCCAGGCTGGCCTCAAACTCACGATGACCCTCCTCCTTCAGCCTCCCAAGTGCTGGGATTTCAGGTGTGTGCCACTGCGCCTGGCTTAGACAAACATTTCTGGACTACTCAGGAAGCAAGAAAATGTGTGACCTGTAAGTGGACAAGAACTGGTTAATGGAAATAGGTCCAGAAATGATGATGATGGAACGTTCGCAGACAAGATTATTAAAACTGGTTATTAGAATTTTTAAATGTTTAAAGGAAAACATGCATACACTGAGGAAAAAAATCGAAGTTACGAAAGGAATCAGATTTGTGTAGACGAAATGTAGTCTTTTCACTTGTGTGTAGTCTGTGGACCTGGCCCAGAGTCTGTGCGCGCTGGGTGAGCAGTGCACATCCCCAGATCCAACGTGTATTTCCTGAAATGAAGAGTTTGCCTAACAGGACTAAGAAGGGAATACGCATTACAGAGAAGATCTGTGAGACTGAAGATGTAGTTACAAGGGTCAACCACAATAAAGCCAAGACAGGACAGTCAGATGTACGTTAGAGAAGAATGGCTTCGTGGGCGTATCTGTTACAGCCGTACAGTTAGGGTCTGCTCATCCAACATGGACAAGTTTTATTTCAACAGATACGTGAGTAGGGTGGAGGGGCAGGGGGGTGAAACGAGGAGGAGGCATGTTGCTTACTGGAGCTGAATGATGTGGCACGGGGTCACGGTACTGTCCTCCGTCTGAATGCAACATTATTTGTAGTTTTAAAAAGGCATTTACATTGTTTACATCATTAATCTCGAGGAATGACTCAGGGTCCAATAACTTTTTAGATCTGCTACTTATTCAGTCTATGCTTTTCCTGTAAGGTTTTTAGCAAGTTGAAACCAAACAAAACTGACGCTCCAGCAAACACCTCCACATATTTTATAACGACTCCACTGAAAAATTCTCGCGCCATTCCCTCAGTTCTCCTGAAGACAGCGATCCCTCAGTCCTGGCACAGCAGAGAAGGCCACACCCCAAGAATGTCAGAGCCACAGGAGCCTGGAGAGATTTTTCCCTGGGTCCTGGCTGACACGGCGTGTGACCACGTCTGAACACGACCCTCAGACCGTGGCTCGACACAGAGAGATACCTCTGCCTCGTCTGAGGTGCTGCTGTTTGAGTTTTTGTTAGAAGGTGTGAGTGCAGGTCCTGACCACAACCCTAAATGCTCTCCGCTCGTAAGGTTGTGTCCATTCTCCCAGCAGATAGATCTTCTCTTTCA